GATTCATCACTAGAATAAACATTGTAATCCCCCATGATGCAACAGGGAGCGAGGACGACCGTCTGAAAGGTAATTAAGTGTTCTGATGCTTTCCTTTATTAACAAGCTGTTTACTGAAAGGCAGGATTGAGTGTCTATAAAAAGCGCTGAGTCACTGGGAACACTTCCAAGGGCACATCATCAGTTTAAGTTTGGAAATTATTCAAAATGTGTTTGAATGATTTAAAGTGTAATGATTGTTGGCAGGTTTTCAAAAAGATTGAAAGAAAATGATTAAAGAAGATATCAATTACATTTTTGGAACATTTCTGGTAAAACAATTCTGCATATCTTACTATTGAAAGTGTCGCTATTCTGCTTTTTGGGGGTTTTTCCTTTCCTGTAGAGTGTTGTATAGGTTTTAGTGCATGTAAATGGTCTGCAAAGGCTAAAATCCCTGTGTTCCCTCACACCCCCCCCCCATATGAAACGCCTCCATTGGACTCCTTTGTTTACTTCCTGAACAAAGTAATATCACTATCAGTAACACTCGCGCTCCTATTGACTAGCTCTCCAATGCATTGTGTGTAATAGGCTAAGGGGCGGGACATCTCTAAGCGGTTGACTAATCACAACAGAGCCAGCCAGCTAACCAATCAGAGCAGACTGGGCTCTGGTTTCAGACAGAGGGTGAAAAGAGGTGCTGCAGCACAGGCAGTATGAGAAAAATAAAGAGCTTTTTGAACATTAAAGCATGGAGACATGTCCCAGTAGAGACACTACATACTGATATACACCTGAACATCAGCAGGAGAGGACTCTTTAAAGTAGAGACACTACATACTAATATACACCTGAACATCAGCAGGAGAGGACTCTTTAAAGTAGAGACACTACATACTAATATACACCTGAACATCAGCAGGAGAGGACTCTTTAAAGTAGAGACACTACATACTGATATACACCTGAACATCAGCAGGAGAGGACTCTTTAAAGTAGAGACACTACATACTGATATACACCTGAACATCAGCAGGAGAGGACTCTTTAAAGTAGAGACACTACATACTGATATACACCTGAACATCAGCAGGAGAGGACTCTTTAAAGTAGAGACACTACATACTGATATACACCTGAACATCAGCAGGAGAGGACTCTTTAAAGTAGAGACACTACATACTAATTCATCCTGAGGGCGGCAGTACAGGAAAGCTCATGGTGCGGTTAATTCGCTAAAAGGATGAATTTCACCTCAATCTGCTGGGTAGATAGTGTGGAAGTAAAACTATCTGCTCAATGGGAACAGACGAGTCAGGGGGTCATGAAGGACCCTCTGGGCATCCATGAATGTTTACAGAAATCACAATCTGTGACTTTACTGCGGGACAGATGGATCCAACAACTAAACAACATTGCATTTGCACTGAGGATAAAAGGGACATTTTAGTTAAAAATAATTGAAAATGTCTTAATATAAAATATACAATATGTGTAATTTATACACACTATTTATTTATTATAATATTATATATAAAAGACCGCTTATAATCCAAAAATAGGTATTGTTGTGACAGGAAAGATCAAGAAGTACTTACACTACGACCTTGACTGTATTTAAGGAGAGAAAATAATGATATTCTTATTTATTTTTAATGAAAAGAAAAAAGAAAAGCATTATAGAAAATGTAAAAAAATAAAAATAATAATAATAAAATAGAAGGGACAAAACTAAATGGTGAGAATATAAAAAAAGAATTATTAATAGTAATAAAAATAATAAATATGATAATAAAAAAAATAAGAACCACAAAAATATTGTGAAAAATATACTTGTCAAGAAACAATTAGAATTAAATGTTTACTGATAATATAATATAATGTCTGTTCACGACGATATCTAACGGGACTCATCTGCTTTCACATTTAATGAACACCCGTAATGATGGAGGCTGTTAGGACCAGCTAGAACAACATTTAATAAGTCACTAGTTTTTATCAATGTTAATCTCACTTTGACATTTGATCATCCATCACACAAGGCTTCAGCCCCCCCCCCCCCCCCCCTTTCTCTCTCTCTCTCTCTCTCCCCTCTCCCTTTCTCTCTTTAATCCCCCCCTCTCGTGAAGCAGCAGCAGCAGCGTTTGAGACGAGGACAGCGATCTCTGCCGTCAGAGGATTAGACGATAAAATGTCTGAATAACCGGAGCGTCTCTCTGACCGTGTCTCTTTGGTAAGTCTCTCATATTTCTTAACTCAAGCAAAGATCACCAACAACTAGTTTGATCATGAATTAGTCCTTGAAGTCATTTTCCATTTCATAAATGCCAGGATTAGTGTTTTCTAGCCTCTCAAATGTGCAGATGTGCCGATTCTCTCGGTTTGATATCATATTTAAGCGAATTTCTATAGATTTTGGACTGACAACAACAAGGCATTTAAATAGGTTTGGATATTTAACACCGTTTCTGATTTTCAGCAGATGAATTGAACATTCAATTACATTTAAAAATAAGTGAAAATAGTACATAGTGTTGGTATACACAAAGTGTGTTATTTCTCCGTATGATGCAGTGGATTTTAGAGATTTGACATCGTCACTGACAAAAAGACTTTTTTCTCATAACTTTATTTGATTATAAATTAAGTATTGTGCAAAAACAATTGAAATAAAGAAATTGTATTTTGGGCACCTAAAAGTTGTTTTTACTGTCACCCCTTGACGTTTTCTCTTTTGGTTAAGATCATGATTTTATTTAATAACAATTAGTCAACCAATTACATTTTTGAAATAATCGAATAGAGTATTTCTTTATCCAGAAAACATCAGAAAGGCTGTTTTTGGACCGCCACCTGTCAGGTTACAGATGAGCCTCCTCACAACAAATCATCCTGCATTATGTCATTTTCTGAACATCTGTGCACACTCACCACACTCACCACCCCCCCCCCCCCCCGCCTCATCCTCACCACCACATTTTGTTCCAGTTAATCCTACAGACATTGCTTATTATCCTGCTCTATTCTCCCTTCTCTTGTTATTGCTTTATAGGAGGGCGAGGTGGCTGTAACATTATTTCCATTAATGCGCTGTTATAGGGCAAAGGCAATTCAAAGGGCTTTACATGAGCATAAACACACTACAGGAAACACACTGTAGGAATACTGTATGTTAAAGGTAGGGTAGGTAAGAATGGAGAAACCAGCTCGAGTGCGCTAGAATTTGAAAGTACGCAGCCGAAAAAAATCTGCCCCTTCCTTCAGACTTCCTTACAGAGCCCCTCCTCCAACACACACGCACGCGCACATGACCAATGAGGGCACGAGATAAGTTTGTGCACGAGATGGCAGGCTAAAATAATTGGTTGTGCTTTTTACAGCGCCACGGCTTCCACAGATGAAATATTTGTATGTATTTATTGTCAAAGCATTTAATGTATTCATTACATTACATTACATTACATGTTACTTGTTAGACGCTTTTATCCAAAGCGACTTACATACTCAATACTGTGGGCAATCCCCACAGGAGCAATTTGGGGTGAAGTGTCTTGCCCAGGGACACAACGACATTCTGACTGCAGTGGGGTTTGAACCTGTGCTCCCCTGATCCGAACACAAACGCACTGCGCCACACGCCTTCCTATTCATTGCTATCGGGATGTTAAGAGCATTCCATGGAATATAACAAAAAGTGTTTCTGAAGTGAATTACCTACCCCACCTTTGATATAATTTAAAAAGGGGCGGGAGTATAGTAATGTAACCATGGACACAGCCATGAACAATAGACACCAAAACAAACTGTCCTGTAACTTTTGAACCAGAAATCTCAGAAACAAAATATGACTATCCACATATATAGATTTATCTCACCAATACAAATTGAGTCAAATCATTTATTCCTTTGTCAAATTTGGTAGAAATCATCAGTGAACCATGCACAAATATGTTCCTTAACTATATTTTCAGTTATATCTCTTAAAAAAGGGCCCTATTATGCACTTTGGGGTTTCCCCTTCCCTGTAGTGTGTCATATATGTGCATGTAAATCAGGGGTGTCAAACTCAATTTCATCACGGGCCACATCAGCATCATGGTTGCACTCAAAGGGCCGGTTGTAACTTTAAGACTATATAAAAATACATATATAAATATTTAATATATATAAAATAATGTATTATATGCATTGGATTATTATCGGATAGGTTAATAACTTCATAATTAACTACGTCTGAAAGTAGAGGTCTAGGGCAAATAATTGCAAGTCTCTTCAGTGAGAATGTCACAAAATGATTTAAAAAGAAAAGCCACATTCTGAAGAAAAAACGTGACATAAAAAAAAAAAAAAAAATTCTGAAATAAAAGTCAAATTTGAGATGCATTGTGGGACATGTAGTTTATGGGCAACGTGCTTCTGTAAATCGGCATGTAACCGTATAATAAACATATTATATTCTTTCAGAGCTGTTGTGGGCCACATAAAATGAAGTCACGGGCCGGATTTGGCCCCCGGGCCTTGAGTTTGACACCCCTGATGTAAATGGTCTGCAGAGGCCAAAATCTGAATATAAAGTAATTCAAAGATAAACTTGAATAACGTGCAACACTAAGGAGGTGCAGTATAGTTTACTACCTAGTCTTTTGCTTAAAAGCATATGTTTCCGTCACAAATTCGAACCATTGATGTTGATATTATTGTGCACTATGGCGTTATACTACCCTAAAAATGTTTAAATCTTGAACAGTGTCTGTGTCTCTTTTGTCCCTCAGTTAATGTCCCCCTCTCATAAAACAACTTGCCCCTGCATGGCACCCAAGAGAAACTAGAATTATAATTGTTATGTGTGTTTCTGCCCAGCGACTGCAGATGGAAATGAGCTTCTAGCTATAACTCTTCTCTTTTTGAGATGAATGTATTTTTATGCAGGGTCATTGTTCTATAAAGGTATATAATATAACTGCCACTGTTGCCAGGTTACGATGAGTTCTCCCGTCAGCGTCTCTCTCTCTCTGTTTTCTGTCTCCTCTCCAGGTCAGTGTCTCCTCGTGAGAACACAAAGTCTGTCATACCTGAGGAAACACTTCCACCTAACCACAGAAACCGCCGTGCATTATGGGGGTTGTGGTCTTCAACATCTCGGCCACCTCGGCCCATGTGAGCTGGCCGGTCTCCCCCAACTGCTTGGACACTTTCTACAGCGTCATGTACGACCCCAACTGGAACAGCCTGCTGATGGGATACAAGCGCAAGAGCTTCCTGATCGAGGAGCGGATCCCCGTGAGCCAGACCTCCACCTACCTGCACCACCTGATCCCCCAGACCGCCTACTTCCTGTGTGTCACCTGCCAGGCGGCCAATCCGGTGCAGGACCAGTGTCAGGTGTTCAGCACGCCCAGCGACAGCAACGACCCCCACGACCGTGCGGGGTGGGAGCTGGCCATGGGGGTGTGGCTCACCTGCTGCGTGTTACTGCTGGTGATCGCAGGCGTGCTGCTGTGGGGGTGCGTCCACACAATGTGCTGCGTGCCCACCCAGGGAGGAACAACAACAACATCAACAACTAGAACCAGCATCGCCCGGCAGGACATGATTGCATCCTCGGGGATCTACTCTAACAGCAGCGAGGACAGCGGGAAGAACGGCGGCCTCGTGCAGCCCCCCCCCCCCTCCTCTCTCTGCTAACGCCGCTAACCACGTAATTACCCAGGAGCACGAGCTCAGGACGCTGGCTAAGCTGTCTGGAGCCGAGCCAGTGTGAAGCAGCTGGATTGAGGTCATGGCGGTATTGTTATCTCCAGACTCAGTTTTTATCCACTCGTGAAATGATGCCTAGCCCGGGGAGTGTCAGGGAGAAATACAATTACATTAATTGTTGAATTATTGTCCCTATTTTATCATTCCTATTGTTGGTTAGGCTTTTTAAAGTTGCCTACCTGCTCACAGCAATAGTTTGAATCAGGCACCACCCAACCCAGAACATCATCCATTCTGTTTAAAGGTCACCTATTGTGCAAAATCCTCTTCTTCATGTCTCTTCTACATCAGCATGTGTCCCCTCTTCTTCATGTCTCTTCTACATCAGCATGTGTCCCCTCTTCTTCATGTCTCTTCTACATCAACATGTGTCCCCTCTTCTTCATGTCTCTTCTACATCAACATGTGTCCCCTCTTCTTCATGTCTCTTCTACATCAACATGTGTCCCCTCTGTGGAAAGAGACTCTGAAAGTTTCAGGAACAAAGATTCTCTCTCTTTTTGTCCTGATCCATTTCTATAAAAACCTGTCTGAAAATGAGCTGATCAGATTTTGGCCACTTTATGATGTCATAACGATGTTTTGGCTTGTGTGACCATTAGCCAATCACCAACCAAGGTAACCCCCCCCCCACCTTATCACCTGAATCTCCTCCTAGAGCACCATTGTGTTCTTTGTAACCAAATATCTCTCAGAGGGGCGTGGGGAGGGGCTCCTTATTTTCATCTGAAGTAACAGACAGAGAATCAGCACTTTTGAAACAGGGCTGAAACAGAGGGGATTATGGGATGCTGCAATGATCAGTTTGGTGTTTCAGCCAATCAGAGACATGTTTTGTATATATCTGAGACCTATACTATATTGAAGAAAAACAGTATAATAGGGGACCTTTAAAGCTAAAGGGGAGAGGAGGCTACACTGATATTGTGTAATATGTTTTTTTTCCCTTTTTTAAATAATAACTGATGAGATCAATTTAATAAAGGGGTTTAATTGAATTTTCCTTTAATTGATTTAATTGAAGAAAACTCATTCCATTTGATGAAATGTAGGATTTTGTATTGGATTTGTTATCACATGACAGACATTCAAGGCTCACTTTAAAATATCTCAATAGAAACTTGGATACAAAAAAAATAATACTTTTGATGCAGCTTTCCAGATTTCTTAGAACAGGACAGTGGAAATGATCCCGGCTCAACTGCGCTTACATGGTTTTGTTCTTCATATTTTGTCCCCTTGAATATTTCTGTTAATAACAGAATAAGTAGCTCATGGAGGACATTTTGATCACATCTGATTTGTTTCCACTGTTCCACAATGATGCATTTCTACTTGTTATATACACTTCGACATGTAATGACTTTAACATGTGGACTCAGGAGAGGTGGAGGTCAGATAAAATCCCCTCCACTCATTGAACCCAGGAAGATAAAGGGCAGATAAAGGAAAGCTCACTGACCTTGGAGCCGTACAGGTACTGAGGCTGAGCGTTGGGCGGCTTGTCCCTCTGAAACTCCTGAGAGAACGGCAGCACGGTGCGCACGAACCTGCAGAGAGACATCAAACACTTTAACACTTTAACACAACGAGGATACCGTGCACTTTGTATGGAGGAGATGATATGGCATGGCAGGAGGATCAAACACACACTGTCCTGTTGCAGATAACCTGCAGGAGCATAGTGTGCCGAAACAGAAGCTAAGAAGATTTCAAATATGTACAAAATTAAAACATGAAAATGAAACACGTGTTTTATGTTGGCGCAAAACAATTTCTAAAACACGAGTGTTTATTTCCAGAATATAATGAGGCTGTTTACGTTTGTTTTACCCACATATCATGAGGTTTCAACTCTGGTTGGGATCTGTATGGTACAATGGATCAATGGTGTATTACGGCTCATTGAAAGGTTGTACAAAAATATGAACAGAGCTGGGATATTCAGAGAAAACTACTTGACTATTCTCTGAGATTAAAACAATACATTTACTAGAAATTCCTCACACATTTTTGCGAGAAACTTGAATATCATGTGAGATTATAACGTTTGTAAGAAGACAAAAGATGACTAAGGTCACAAATGTACTAGCAAAAATACTGTGAGAATATTGTTGGTTTAAAAAAAAAAAAAAAAAAATCATACTTATCACGCCTATTTAACTATTAACTATTTAGCCTATTTTACTTTTAAAAGATTCATACAAGACATTGTATTATATTAAACAACCTTATGTTTGGACTACAGTTATAACTAACTAATATAAATGCCTGATAATTAAATGCCTAAAAGGATTGTTTTAATTATCTCTGGAATTTTTTTATCCTGAGAGATTAGCTAAATTCATTCCGTAAATTCGCGCCTTTAACTTCTCAGTTTCTCCTCTGAATGTAACCCCTCTCCTCCATATTCATTTGAACTGACAGTGGCCCTAACATGCTGTTGGAGATCACAGATGTTGTCTTTTTGAATGTTTACCAAGAGAAAGCAATTGAAAAGCATGTGTGTCCACCTGTATTATGTTATTATGATTTATGTAAAGTCACTAAATGCACTATAATCATGATGGCAGCAAGCTGGTGTGAGTATATGTTTGAAATGTATTTGGCTTGATTAGTTTTATCTACCATATCTCTTGTGAACAGATCCCATAGTTGATAAGACACAGATACAGTCTGATTAGCCTCTGATAACGCACCTGTTGGTGGAGCCGTTATAGCAGTAGTTGGGCAGGAAGTCGTAGTTGAGCTCCCAGAAGACGTGCAGCGTGATGCGTCCGTACGGCGCCGACACGTTGTGGTTGGCCTCGCGGAACATGGCGTCCATGCTGTCCAGAGTCAGGAACTTACTGAGCAGCTTGTGCGTCATGCGGTTGATGTCCAGGAGACCTTCCAGCTCCTGAAACACAGGGAATACACAGAATAAATCAACCAGAATAATCACAAGGATGATGGCAATAAGGTTTGTTTAGTTCGATCATGTATGAGAATGTCACTGTTTAATAATCTGGTGTTATTCTTATTCTTTATTAGGATCTCCATTAGCACTAGCATGAGCATCGGCTATTCTTACTCGGGTCCGGGTCAAACATACATTAAAAAAACAGCTCGTAATTTCATGCAATTCACAATTCAATATGAACTGAAAACAACAATTATCATCCTATTTTAACCATCATTAAGCCAGACATAAATCATTGTACATTCCCACAGACACTTTATGATACGGAAATTATTTTTTTTAGCTCACTTTTCAAATGCATTGGGGAATTTTCCTGAATGATATGGACTGGTAATGAATTCCAGTCGACCATGGCTCTGTATACGACGGTTTTCTGTTCATATTGGATATATTTTTGGGTAACATGAACCTTCCTTCTATTGCATGTGGTGTATTTTAGGTAACGATGAAATCCCTGTTATTTAGTTCCAGGGTTCATACACTTTTTCACCAATGATTTTCAATGACTTCTCCATGACCTTTACCTAATTTTCCATGACCAAAAACATTACTCTTTCTCAGCGGTACCACTGAAAATGGTTTATTTTAACATGGAACAGGAAAATAAGGTCTGAAACAGGTTGTGCCTATCTAAAACAAATCAAATAGTAGGCTTACTAGCTTCTACACGCCAAAGCAACTCAAATCTCTCACCAGCAAAATGCCATTTTACGTTTCATTACTATGCGATACAGTATGTATTATCATTATAGTATTACTATTTCGGCGATTAGATAAAATATAAATTATATTTGATGCAACTTTAGTTACATTTCCATGACTTTTCCAAAACTTTGGGAAAATATTGTTTTCCATAACTTTTCCAGGGCCTGGAATTAGCATTTTGAATTTCCATGACTTTTCCAGGTTTTCAATGACCGTAAGAACCCTGTAGTTCATACTAGTCTTGGATAATAACCCTAACCCTAAATGCAGCACATCTTCCTCACGTTATGGTAACCCTGACAGATAAGCTGATAAAGAAGAAGTATTCACCATGATGGAGGTGAGGTCCTCGCTCTCGAAGCGGTTGATGGCGAGCTCCAGAGATTTGTAGAGAGCGGCGGAGATCCTCTGAGTGATCAGTCTGTTCAGATCAATGGAGCGGCCGAGGAGCTATGGGAGACAAAAACACGTTATAAACACTACATGACGCAGAAGTTATGAAGTAACAGGGTTAAAACCAAGAAACAAAACTACAAAACATGTTTGTGAAGAAGCGAGTAAGAGGAAATGGCACCGAGAACGCAGTCGAGATCCCATACATGTAGTTAAAAGAATAACCTAAAACACTTATTATTATTATTGACAATAATGAATTACAGCGTTTTCTTTTACTTCTGAGTACAAGTGTATTCTTTGGTTTGCTGTGTAGGACTTCAGACAAACCAGTGGTCCGATTTGTATTAAACTTAAAGTGGACCTATCATGCTATATTTGAATAATATAGTGTAGGACCATACCTATATAAGGCATATTTATACTTTTTTTTTTTTCAAAATACCAAACAGATCATGCATTTTAGCCATGCCTCATTTTGCTCAATTTGCACTTTTTTGAGCTCTGCTCTGCAAGGGATGATTCGGTGAGAACAGCACCATCTACTGGCCTGGCATATGTACTACAGCATCTCCAGCGCTTTCGAACGGCAATGGCCGTGGCTGTCTCCTCCTGATTGGTGGAGTTGGCCCAATAGCCGTAGCGCCACCGTCCTGACGTCAGGACAGTGTTCAAATCTGGATCAGTTTTTATCAGATCCGTTGCAGCCCCTTTTTTTAGAGATTTGGGTATGGAGGAAAATAGAGAGGGTTGTGTTTTCTGACACTTGGTGAGTTCCCTGGAACACCGGGGACACATATTCATGTATAAAAGACGTACAAAAGTGCATTTTGCATGATAGGTCCCCTTTAAACTCAAACTGGAGCGGATCCCAATTACAGGGTGGATTCACCAATTATCTTTCACTTTCATTATCTTTGTGACCCTTTGGCCTGGTGTAGCGTTGCTCTCTCCAAGTGCCTTCTAGGTGTAAGATTGATCAGTGGACAATCAAAGTGCAAAAGTAAAGTCATAAAAGCATGCGTTAAATTGAACTGAAAACAATGCACACGCAAGCAAAACTTTGGTTAAAATGTTCAATAATCCGAACTCTTAAACAGTTTTTGTTGGCTAAAACCAGAAAAAGGTTAGGTTTCTTTGTCCAAGGTAAGACGAGGATATTACATACTAGACTGAGA